AATAAACAAAGTTATTAAAATATTTTTTATTTAAATTCTATTTAAAACGTTTATTTGAAATACATATTTCTTACTTTATATTTTAAGTAAGTTTCCGAAACCTATTTTTTATTTAAAATAGGAAATAGCCTTCGAAAATCTATTTAAAATAAAAGACAAGTTATTTTTATATTTTAAATAAAAGTTATTCTATATTTTAAATAAATTAATGCATTTTCGAACCCTATTTCTTATTATATATTTTAAATAATTTCTTGTGACCTATTCCTTATTTAATATTTTAAATAAGTTTTTGAAATCCTTATATTTTTTATTTCAAATATTGTAAGTCGTATCAGTGATTTTACTCCTACGATTGTATATTTTACATAAGTTTCTGGAACTTATTTTATATTTTTTATTTTAAATAAGTCGTATCAGTTATTTTATCGAGTTCTGCTTTTAAAGCATTTCTAACGAAACATATAACGTTTTTTTCTTTTTGCCACACTTATATATATTCTGCAATCAATTGTCTTAAATAATATTAAGTTATTCAGAAAATTCATTTCAAATTTTGTTAATTCAAAATTATGTACATAATATATTTATTGCGAAGTTTTCGACTATCTGACGTGAAAGCTCAAAGTTTTCCTTAAAAATTCGTTTTTAAAAAATGTCTCTATGATTTTTTGTTCTGAAACCTGCTTTACCTGCTCACTCGCGAGGCAACATTCCGACTCATAACTGTGTTACAAATCATATTAGATGTAGTAAAAAGAAATCCATTATTTTTGCGTGAAATTGAATGGAAAAATAATGGATTTCTTTTTCTACACCTAATATAAAAGATACAGATTTCTAATGCTAGAACTTTGCTGTATCGAATGGTATAATTGCCTATTTTATTAAAAAAATAGAATATATATAAATTTGAGTAAAAAATATGACTATATTTTCATTGTAATCATTACGTAGTAGTTATAGAAGCAAAATAATATTATATTTTTAGTTCAAATGCATATATATTCTATTTTTGAAAAAATTGACATTTATATCATTCGATAAAGCAACGTTTCAGCTTTAGATGCAGAAATTGCATGGTTATATTGTTCTGTAAATAAACAAAATATTTCAGGTTGAAACTTTTGACATTGTTAAAATTTTGTGTATAAAAATTTATAATTACAAGTACACATATAATTAATCTTGGCTCATCAGTTCTTCTTTTAATTTATGTTGTTGTTAACAAAATATATTGTTTCTTTATTTTATTAAAACATCTAATTTTTGCGCAATGAAACTTATAATTACATTTTAAATACTTAAAGTACTTATACAAAAAAATTTAGATTAACTTGGTCATTATATGCTTTTCAAATTTTAGTATTGTAATAAGAAAGTAATAAGTAACAAATAAAGTAAATAAACTATAAAAATGTGTTTAATAAAAATATGCTTGAAATATAACTTAATTCATATGTATATAACTTATTTAAAATATAAATATTAACACATTTGTAAAAATATAACCTTAAAATATAATATAATCTTAATGTTAATATTTTTAGCGAAATAAACATCACGTGCATGTAAGATTGCAGAGATGAATATTTCTGAAATATAATTTGTGAATGTAGCATGATTATATGAACCAAATATCGATTTATCATCTGGAGATAAAAAGTGAACGTATTATTTTCAGAGCTATGTAGTTTACATCTACTTTGTCAGGGGTCAGTAGTGCGCGGCAACATTTTGCGGTTACAGGTTTTGAGCTGTTGTGTCCTCTCTCAGATTTCTATGTTTCCTCATGCATCTTGTATTCTTAGTATTCTTACATTATGATAGATGGTATTCTGCAATCTGCAACAATTCGCCGGCGGTATCGATAAATCGTTTCGCTTGTGAAGTAGGTAATCTAGCCGCATTATGAAGCTAGTAAGGTACGTAAAATACGTGAAAATTATATAATAAAAAAAAACATAATAAAAGCACTGATTTTTCTATGCATGCAATGAATTATGTATGTATATGATTTCTGTGAGAATGCAAATAATTCTATACGTGCACCTAACCTATACTTTAAACGTTTTTGCGCGAAAACACTGATATTTCTTCAAAGATTAATGTTGTTTTTGCAGATTTTTGATGAAACTCAGTCACGAGACTGTGACGATAGAATTAAAAAATGGCACTCAAGTTACCGGCACAATTACAGGTATGTCAAAGTGACGTTTTGTTGTGTGACTTGGCGTCAAGTAGCGTTAGGTTAGAAACAAATGTTGATATATAAAGGATATGATCAATGTTGCAAATTCTTTGAAGTGTTTTTTAATTGGTCAGTTTGTAAAATTCTTACTTTTATTGGTCCATCAAACTTCAAAATATTTGTGTTGAGATTTTGACCACAGCTAAAATAAACACCAATATGGCAGATCTATTCGTAATTAAAAATTTTAAGATTTTTTTGGGTATAGATATATAAGAATATATTTTTGTGAAAATGTCAGAGAATAGAAGTGTTACCATAACATTTTATTATAATAACAATTATAATAAACAAATAAACTTATTATAATAACAATTTGATAATGACGTTGCATTTTTTATAACTATAATGATAAGCAGTTAAGCTGAGAATATGCTAAAATCTTGGGAAAATCACTTTATGTACCTCGCACCATTGCGTTTATTTAAAATAAAAAAATAAATTGTAATAAGTAATGAGTAATGTTACCTCGTTACAAATTACGACTTACAAAAGTTGGATTAACTTTTTCAATAATGAGTAACTTTTTCAGCTTGTTACAAATAATGACCAAAAGACCTTCCAAGCCCTGTGTTACCTTATAGTTCTACTGAAAAAAAAATCATGTCACATAATTACATTATGAAATCATGTAATTAAAACAAGTAAATTATGTAATGGATTGTTCCAAATTAATACGTTATTTTCTAAAATAACATAATTTGAAAAATCACATGATATGTTTTTTTTTTCTATTTCTATCATTTAATTCTTTAAAATTCAATAACTATAAAATCACATGATGGACGAAATTATTTCTAATATGATTTTCCGAATTGTAATTTTAAAATCACGTATTGATTTGGAATAATCCATTATGTGATTTACTTGTCTTAATTATATGATTTTGTTATGTGTAACTGATATATATGTATATGATTCTTTTCAGTAGGGATAATAAAAAAAATTTCTCACTTGTCATTATCATTATAACGGAGTAAGGATAAGAAAAGTAATGGTGTGACAAGTAACTAATGATTTCCATTCCCTCTATGTTATTAATTTTAAATTAATCCTTTTTATTTTTTCTAGTGAGTGCATGCATTGGTGTACTAAAGTCATTGTATACAAATTAAATGTAAAAATGTGTGTTTAATATGAATACAAAAATAAGTTAAAATTATCAATGCATTTTATTATGCTTTAGATAAAGTATATATTTTCTAATTTAAAATAATTGCAATTTTACTTTTATTCAAATTAAATCAATATATTACAGCTTTAATATGTGCCAGTGCACACTAGTGCATCCAATCGAAATTGTTATTAATCATATATTTCAGAACTGAGATTTAGTTGCATATTTCTGCCGATTAGCTTAGGTCTTGTCCATCAGCATTTAGGTTGCAGTTGAAATAAGAGATAGAAATCAAACTGAAAATCGGCTGAAATGTGCAATTAAATTCCAGCACTGATATATTCATATGTGATCTAATGTCATTTATTATTGATAAATTATTTTGCTATAGGTGTTGATGTTGCCATGAACACACATCTAAAAACAGTAAAAATGACAATAAAGAATCGTGAACCAATACAATTGGAAACCCTTAGTTTACGAGGAAACAATATAAGATATTACATTTTGCCTGATTCATTGCCATTAGAAACATTACTAATTGATGATACACCGAAGGCTAAAGCCAAGAAGAAGGAAGCTGCGAGAGGTATGTTTATGTGTCTAGGCATATATTTATGTGTCTAATAATAAAACAGAAATATCCAATGTTGAAGCAAGTTACAGATAGTAAAATGTTCCACAATCCATTTGTTAAAAGTATTCAGTGCTGAAAGGGATAAGTCAACAAGTATTAATCCTATATTTATATTTTTAATTTTAACTGATAAGAGATATTTTCTTTTTATTTTATTTTTTTGCAATCATTACAGTTATATGATAAAGTTTTCTTTAGTTATATTAATTATACTATTTGTTTGTAGGTGCTGCCCGTGGTAGAGGACGCGGCGCCAGGGGCGGTAGAGGTGGTAGGGGTGGACGAGGTAGAGGGAGAGGCAGGCGATAGTGACATTCAACATATTCTTCACATGTATTTTCAACATACACATTTTTCTATCTTTGTGAAAAGAATCATTATTCTGCTAATTTTATAAAAATGAATCTATGCGAAGCTGTTTTCTTGATATAGCCCTATAATAAATTTCAAGATAACGTGGACATTCATTTTTAACAGATTTAAATGTAGAGCATACAAGCATTCCGATATTTTAATCTTGTATTCGATTTTATTATCTTAATATGCTTGTAAAGAAATATAGAAAATTTGTAAAATTGATTTTTGACCATTATAATTACATCTATGCGTGCTATATAATTAGCCATAATTTTCATTGTAATATAATTCATTTAACGTAATGTAAACTCCTTATTTGTTAATTCTATTAATTTGAATAATCTAATATTAATTACAATTTCATTGTATTACAAATTTTTCTTAAAAAGGAGTTACAATTTATAATTACAAGGATATCATGCTAGTACAAATTACATTTATTTCATTTGCGCCAGAGCGTGTGTGCGCCCACCATCCGTACCATTGTAAAACTCAAAGATTTATAAGACATAATAGATTTAGATCAATATATCTACGATAAAATTACTATTCGATATAACTAGAATGATATAAGATTTCCTCTGTAATTTAAATATATTGAGGACTTTCTGAATAAAACAGTATGGTTAAAAGCAGTTTTTATCAGTTTTAAGATTTAAATGTCATTTTGCGTATCAAACCAAGTTCGCTTTTGTTATGTCCGCGTTAACGAACTTCAACGTACACTCGTATATTCGTCTAACCACTTCTGTCAACATTTACGTTACACGAAACCCCACGACTCGTGACAATGTAATTCGCACGTCGTTACTCGCGACGATCCCGTCCAAAAATGTTCGCACATGATTATGTGGAAGTCATCAAAAAGGCTGATCATCAACTGCTTACAATTTGTCATTAGATGCGGCCGCAGTAACTTCGATGCGGATGATTTAGATGACATTTCGGATTACGACGTCCTGGATGTTCCTAGTAATGTAGCGATAATTGCCTCTGTTGCCGCGGAGAATTATCTCCGTTATTATGAGAAATGCATTTATTTAAAAATATTCAGTTTAATCAGTGAGAAGAGTTCTTATTTTGCCGTATAAGTAAAAATAATTAGATCGCAAAGTGATCATTAAATTTTTATATAATTTTTTAATGCGATTTATACAATTTATATTGACGTGATTCATACAAATTGTTTATACAAATTTGCTTCTAAATGTATATACGTAAAAAAATGTTACTATTGGATTTTTACAAGACTATTTGGATTTTTACAAGACAAAATCTATTGAGATGAGTCAATATGCTGCCAAATGAATTTGAGCCAAACTGAGATAAAAATTTAAAAGTTTAAATTATAGTATTATTAACCTTCCGGAAATATTTTTAACCTTCCGGAGGGTCAATTACAGATCTATTGATCAATTCATTATAAGTCTATTTTTCGTTCTTGCATTAGACTCTGCACTAGAACTTTTCTCGCTTTGACTAAATATCAAATATGCTTGTTTTATTTTAAATTTCAAGCATATATCTACTAATTCAATCACAGAAAATAGATCTTATATAAATTTGTTCATCAGAAGTATAAAATTCAATTTTTCTTAGATTTTTTTGGTTATTTTTATTAAAATATATTTAACATTCATTTTTCTCAATACGAATTGTGTCATTTTGATTTCTTAAAATTAATTAACTTTTATAATTTAATACAAATTAAATGGATCTTACAGATCTAACATTAATAACCATGTTGCAGATTTTGACGTCAATAGGAGAGTTAAATATAATAAAGTGTCTGATTGATCAATTCTAATCTTATTAGATATATTAAAATTTTATTTGATCTAATCTAATCTTATTATATATTATCCTAAAATATTATATGATATGAATCGAATTTTATACTAAAAGCAAATTCGATTGGATGTTCTCAGTATGCACTGCATACTGAGTGCGCATCAAAGTCGTCATATATACAGATTGACGTAAAAATGTGTGTTTAATATAAATACAAAAACCAGTTAAACTGTGAAAATTTTAATACACTTTATTATACTATTAGATAAAGTATATATTTCATAATTTCAAATATTTGCATTTTATACTCTGATCAAATCAATGGTTTTAATATGCACTAGTGCGTCCAACCGAATTTGCTATAAAATTGATTAATAAAAGCAATTGAAAAAAAAATAAGATAGCAATAATTGTAACAATCTCATAGTATATCTCAAAAGATAAATTAAGTCGAAGATATACTACCGATATGTCGCGGTTTGTGAAATGCTGGCATTGTAATAGAGAAATCGCGGGTGGGATTAATCTTGGCAATAATAAAAATCATTATTGATTTTATTATCTTGGTTCGCTCTCGATTCTTAACGGCGTAAATCAGAGCGGAAACGATCGATATTGCTGGGGGTAACTTTATAAGGAGACATGAAGTGCTCAAACGAATGGTTCAATGTCTTTGCAGTGCATTTTCAGCCGCAAACATTCGCGCTACCAAGGCAACCGCGCCAGGACGATCTCCAGCATCGACCGGACGCGCCGGGAGCGAGGAGGACCTCGCCGCCGGAAGTGGTGACCAAGGTGCTGCAAGCTCTCGAAGAGATGGGCGAGCCCGTGGGATCGTCGACGGTGGAAAAGATGCGCGGGGCTTCGTCGAAGTCCCTTGGGTACCTGCTGCATTCGGGAACATCGTCGACGAGGATGAGCTAACAGATTCGCCACTTCGCAGTTTCGATGAACTTCTGCCCTGTGGAGAGTTCTGTGTCCAGAGTTCTTGGTATCTCAGCCATTTGGGACTCTTGTACGTGCGGACTCTCAGAAGAAGCGATTTTCGTCCATAGAATATTTGACGTTCGTTCTTGTGATTTTACCTTTTTCTCTCTTTCTCTTATACGGACGTCTAAGTCTTAATTGTAATAATATTATATGCGCGTGTAGAAATAAACTGCATACGATACTTGAAAGATCCGGAAACTTTGCAGTTTAGATTCCTTATCGAGAATCATTGATTGCGTTTTTCATATGCGATTGTGTATTTGTCTGGCTATATGTTGCATATTGTTGTATTTACTTCACCGAAAAATGTATCAACGGCGAAAACTATTACAATAAAATCTTGTTACGACAAACTCGGTCCAATTTCCGAGTTGAATGAATTCTTTGCATTGAAATTTCGTTAAATTTCTGATTGATCGTTGATTATATTAATGTAAAAAAACAACTTCATTTTTGTAGACCATTTCGTGGAAATTTTTGCGGCAAAAAACATTCGATCGTAATTTATCGAAAATGTTTCTAGAAAAGTCTTTTCATATACTTGTATAAAATACTATTATATCAACATGACTATTGTTGTTATTTAATGTATAATTATCACACAATAAATATATTTTATTTTACTATTATTTTAGTGTTTTTTAGATGTATGAACTAAAATAAAAGAAAAATTGGTTGTCATCAATCTTTCTTATTAAAATTATTCATTTTTCTTATTTTTATAATCTAGAGAGATTACATAAAGGAGTATGTAAAATGCATTTAACAGATGTTTTATTTATACATTTGTGATTTATTGATCGGTACAAATGAGCGCAATTAAATTAGTGAATGAAGTTGCGATACGCAACATTTCTTTTAGCGGATTTAAGTGGATGTACTAGTGCGCACAATCTGCAAGCTGTGTACACAAATTTATTTTAACGTCTATCGAGAGAGATATATGTCACACATAATTACTTCAACTGAATAAAATTAATTATATTATAACAGTTATATTATGTGAATAACACTCATGATAATAAAACCAGCTTAATTTTAATGCTATTTTCATAACAAATGAATAAACAGTATGTAATAAATATTTATAATAATTATTCCTTTTTAAATTATTTTAAATTCAACAAAGACGTCGAGACTCGGAATGTAGTTATGAAAAAATATTAAAGTATCAATATTTAAAATAGGGTAAAAATATACAAAATTATAAAGAAATATATAACAATATTCTGATTGAATGATAGAACAAATATTTTGTTCTTAGTAAGGAATTATATCATTTCCTTCACCAAAATCTGCTTGTGTATACCAAAGATCTTGCATACTACGCAGTATCTTTTTAAGTGAATTAAGTACGGCAGTTTTCAGTGCGTATTTAGTGCATGCAATAACTGAATTCGCTGTTCATCGAAATCCTTTTACAAGAATCCGATAACGCCGCAAGCAACGCGCTCGCCTGACGATCCGGTCTTCAGGCTCTCTTCAGTTCCGCCGCGGCCGAGATCGTCTGGTTTCGCGTGGATCACCAGAGCTCTGCCAATCGCACCCCGGACGCCCACTAGGCTCAAGTAGTGATCCATGCCGTCGATATGTGCCACTCCGTCCTCTCCGACCTCAATATTACCGAGATCACCAACGTGACGTAACGGATCACTCGGTGCTCCGTGATTCACCTGAAACGCAATTACTCTTCGTTTACTGTAATGTAAAATGGAGAGAGGGAGTGTGTTATCGCGCGGAGGAAATCGCGACGGCTCAATCCGCGAAGCGTAAGGCTATTAATTTGTGCTAATCGTGTCGCATTTGCATTCGGAGAGTTCGATGCAACAACGATAATCCGATTTCTTCTGGAATTAATCTGAAAATTTAACTTCCTCGACTTTTGAATTAGTCCCAGAGATTTAGAAAAATCAATCACTCGCTACATAAAACATTCATTTCTACATGCAAATGGTGTCCAGTTAACTTGGATTTTTGCGAAAGTGATGATTGAAAAAAGAGTTTGAATACATTTTTTTATAATCCTGTGATAGAAGTCTCTCGCATAATTTTATCTGCTATTATCTGCTTTATTAATGCGAATCTTTGCTGATATTTATAAATTTATAATGTTTATAGAACAACTGATACGAAAGAGACGCAGGCACGATGTATAACATAAAATATATATTGTATTATATTGAATAGAAAAAGTTCGTAGTGTTACTTCATTTATATCATGTCACATTACACTGTTAAAAATGTCATGAAATTTAATTTATTTTTAATTATTATTATTAATTAAACTTTTAAGTTACATAAATTAAATTTAATTTTATGATACACTAAATTAAATTTAATGTATCTGCAATTGAAAAGTATATTTGTATACATGTACATGAATTTATGTACTTAATTTAGTGTACTTTCATAAAATTTTACGAAATGTAATACATTTTTTATTAAATTTTATGTAGATTTGGAATTTAATATAAGTAAATGTTAAATTTATGTTACTTATAACTTTATTTTCATTGACAACATTAATATTTTTAATGTACCTGTTTGAAATTTGCTTTTGTTATATAACGGAAATGATAAGACAATTTTCTATTAGGTATACAACTTTGCTTCCGCCGTTTTCCTATAGATGGCTTTAGCGGTAAGTGATGG